CGTTTAGTGGTGATCTAATTTATTCGAACCGGTCCCGGGCCTCGCCTCGGTCGACTCAGCCTTTAAATGAGTGCCTGGTGCGATGTGTAAGCATCGCCACTGGGGAGACAAAGGCGGCCGGGAGTGATGCTGGCCAGCCACCCCCTTGTGTGCCGTGCCGGCCTTCACAGGTGATACTCGCAAACAGCACTTGCCCCAACAGTCCGTTAAGGCTATACGGGTGAGATATTTCTCTTTGTCTGTGTATGTTTATAATCTGTGTGCGTGTGCAAGGCCGTGTCTGTATGTTTGTGCCTGTATGTATGTCTTCATGTTTCTACCCTTTGTGTATATGTGTATGACTGCGTGTGTGTATGTTTGCCCGTCAGGAGCGGTGGCGCAGCGGTTAGCGCCTTGCGCTCCGAATCTGGCGCCCCGACAGTGTTCAGTCGATTCCCGCTCACAGCCATCATCAGTGACGAATACTGGAACCGATCCCTGGGCCATCCCCTGGATCGACTCGATCTCAAATGAGCACCTGGCGCAATGTGTAAACATCAGCACTGGGATAGACAAAGACGGCCGGGCATAGTGTTGGCCACCCACTCTGCCGTGCGCAGTGTCAACCTTCATAGTTTGTGGGGGAATAATAGCAAATTTTCTATACTTTTGAGGCATGACCAATTAGAAAATAACACGAACAAAAATCGTGTTACATAGTTAATTATTCATCTCACGACTTTCATTCAGCTCGTGAACCCTCACCTCTAAAGGTCTCAAGCATTGGCCACCAACTCCGTCGTGCGCCCTTGACACCCTTCATAGGCGTTACTCGACAACAGCACTTGCCCCAACACTCTGGAAGGTTATATGGCGGGGGAGGAGGATACCTTTGTCAATAGCAATCTGGCGCTCACATCTCAGACCGAAAGTCCCGAAACGGAGAAGGGAAATTTCTCAGAAACTCGTTTTGTCAGACTCGCTCACATCCCTTCCGGGAAAAAAAAACGACAGCTCCCCCCCCCCTCCCTCCCCAGCCACCACACGGATCATTAACTCTACCTCTACGCATGAAGACCCTCAACCTTACCTCCTCTCCCGCGTCTATATTATTATTAACCTTACAACTTTCATCCAGATCGGTTTCACACGTCGGACTCGCTCAGATCGTTAACCCTCATCACTAAGTCTCGTACACGATGTATAAACCTCACTCACACACGGATCATTAACGTCACTCACGTGAAAAAAACAACTTAAAACACGGGTCTACAATCAACATCTCAAGATTTTTGCTTGAAATTTGCTTCGGCGGAGCTGATGGGGACATTGGAGGTAATTCCACATTCCCATGGCGTCGGGGGGGGGGGGGCGGGGCGGGCAAGACTATGCACGTGGACGTCGACTTGTTGACTGCCCACGAAGTGGTAGGCATTTTATCGATCTTGGAGCAAGTGGTAATGGTTATGATGGTTGTGGTAGTGATGCAATATTGCTCGTGTTGTTGACGGTGATTATGGTTGTGGAATATTGGAATGACAGTGGAAGAAGATGATTATATAATAATGCACATGAGTGTGGTAGCGAGCATTTACTTCAATGATGCTGTAGTGAATCTTGAATCTTGATTCAAATACAGCAGCTCGTCTGATCTCGGAAGCTAAGCAGGTTTGAGCCTGGTCTAGTACATGCGACCCATTCCATGTCACTACACATAGATGGGAGACGTGCAGGTGCCGTAGGCTTGAGCCTACAGGAGTGAACGGGAGATGGCAATAGAGCGATGGATTATTGAATCCTTATTCACGGAGATGTTGAACGTGATCTTCCTTTATCTTTGTGTCGGCTAAGGGCTGAGCTTCGGATTGAACAAAAGAAAAACTGAATTTCGGCAATTTGGATGATTTTAACTCTGTCCGCACGGGTCAAACGTCTGTTTGTCTTCGTGAAAACAAAATGAATTTGTTGTTAGCTGTGCTTGCGAGCCACTTGTGTCAAACGGTTGGGTGAAGCCAACTCCACGAAAGAAAAATCCGGAACTTCCGAAATCTCGCGTCTGGGGCTTGATTCTCGGAAGTGTTTTGTACCGTCGGGGGAGAAAGCAGATCCACGGCGTGCCGCGATCGCTCCTGCTGCTGATTGATGAGCGCGTTCAGCTGGCTCTGCCTGCGGTGCTAAAAAGCGCCCCTGCTGTGTGCGGACACGAGCGCGCCACGGTGCGATAATCGATAATCGATTTCTACACGCGATTGGTTGAGCCGTGTGACTGAGAGAGGGGGTAGCAGCTACGTAGCACCAACCCGCCTTGAGATCACAAACATTGGCGACCCATTTAATATTCTTGGTTCTTTCGGTAAAGCCACGTAGAATGGGAAAACATTTTTTTTATTGTTTTATTTTTATTATTCAAATTATTATAAAGCAATAACATTTATTGTTTTATTTGTATAATTGTATTATTTCCCTTCTACGTGGTGACTTTACCGAAAGAACAAAGAATATGAATACCTGCAGTCACGAAAGCTTTAAATCGAGACCCATTTAATATTCACCGGACACAATACAGAATGTGTTTACCATCTTTATTATTCATGTAAGACCTTGTTGAAATACCAGGCGAGGCGTTAACTTCCTCGCCTGGTATGGAGAAGGTTATGGGTTCGATCCAGGCCCTGAGGCCTGTCGTATGTTATTTTGGAGTTTTGCATTTTCTGGCCAGTTGTCGCGTGCATTTTTTATCCGGGTCGTCCTCCGTGGGTTTTCCCTCCACATTTAGAAACACGCGTTTAGAGTATTTGGCTGCTATACATTTCCACATTATAAGCCACTTCGTTGAGCTATTATTTGTGATCAGATCGCTTCTGGAAAAACAGAGCGACATAGCTCAGTGGACCTTTCCTGGTAAAATAAAAAAAATACATTTTAATGGTTTAGTTTGCGTACTCAGACTAAAGAAAAACAAGTACATCGTCGCGATGTGTAAACGTCGCCAAAAAGGCAACCGAGCGTGGTGCCTGTCCATCCCCCACACCCCCTCGTGTGCCGTGCCGACCTTCAAAGGGGCCGTCCATAAATGACGTCACGCGATTTTGAACGAATTTTGACCCCCCCCTTTGTCACACGGCGTCACAAAAAGTCAGACCCCCCCCCTCAAATATGACGTCACAAAGCTCTTCCCCCCCTCCCCCCCCCCCCCCCAAAAATAAAACATTTTTCAAATCTCTTTAAACTATTGTCATTGCAGTGCGTATTTAATGTGGCGCTGCACTCTGATGTTGTAGCAGAAAACATTTATTAAAAAGTGTATTTAATGAAGTAGAACGTGTTGTCTATATTTATTTAAAGTTGCGCATTTTGATGTGACGTCACATTTCTCACCCCCCCCCCACCCCCCATCGTCACAAATGTCTGACCCCCCCCTCCCCAGGTGCGTGACGTCATTTATGGACGGCCTCATAGGTGCTCGCAAACAGCACTCGCCCCAACAGTCCGGTGTAATGGTATTGGGGGTATCTCTGTCTTTGTGTAGCGCAGTCGTTCGCGACACCGCGCTACGAATCCGACGACCTCCAGGTCGGGCACCCGGTTCACGTGGACAAGCGAATATTTCGACCGGTCCTGGTCCCATTACTTAGGTCGGCTCAGCCTCAAATGAGTTTACGATGTGCTTTGTAAACATCCGCGCTGTAGAGAAGAAAAGGCGTCCGCGTGAGGATCTGGCTACACAAATCCCCGCTTGCAGTGACGATCGTGATAGGTATTTAGGCTATACGGAGGATTCGAATGTCCTTGTTTGTGAACATAGGCGTCAAGGTGTGTACCATGGACATTATATAACGGTGGCGAGTATGTGAGTGAATGTGTGTGTGTTGTGCGTTGCATAAGCGTCTTCATGCGTGTACGTGTGCGTCCTTGGGAGAGTGGTGGCGCAGTAATTAGCGCGCCGCACTACTAAACCCGGGTTCGAGTCCCGCTCACGGTCCATATCGGTGACGAGTATCTGAACCGGTCCCGGGCCTCCCCTAGGTCGACTCAGCCTCAAATGAGTACCTGGTGCGGTGTGTAAACATTGCCACTGGGGAGACAAAGGCGGTCGGGCGTGGTCCTGGCCACCCACCCCCTCGTGTGCCGTGCCGGCCTTCATAGGTGCTCGCTAGCAGCACTTGCCCCTACAGTCTGTTAAGGCTATATGGGGGATCTTTGTCTTTTGTGTGTATGTGTACTGTGTATGTGTCGTGTGAATCCTGTACTGTCTCGATCTTTGTAAGCATACGTGTGAATGAATGTTTGTTTATTGTTAACAATACTTGCCCCAAACGTCTTTTAAAGCTATACGGGGGATCTTTGTATTTATGTTGTGTGGTGAGCACGCTGCGTAACGATCCTGGCCACCCGAGTTAAGAGTCCCGCTCACGGCCACCAACTTCAGTCGCGAATATCTCTCCCCTAGGTCGACTCGGCCTGAAAATGATGCGCTGTGTAAACATTGCTTGGGAGACAAAAGGCTTGCTGGTGGTGATGCTGGCTACACCACCGTCTCGTGCCCATTCATAGGTGCGGTTCGCTGACAGCACTTGCCCCAACAGTCTGTCAAGGCTACACGGGGGATCTTTGCCTTGTGTGTTCGTGTGTGGGCGGTTGGGCCCTGCCCCATTGAGGGAAATTCCCTTTTTTTTAAACAACTAAAAAGTTCTCTCTCTGGCTTTGTGTTAATCTCAGTGTTCGACTCACTGACTCACATGCAAACTCACTCACTTGCATGTACACTCACAGACACACTCACTCATACATTCACTCACAGACACACTCATTCATACATTCACTCACAAATACACTCACTCATGTACACTCACTCACATGCACACTCACTCACTTGCATGTACGCTCACAGACACACTCATACATTCACTCACAAATACACTCACTCATGTACACTCACTCACATGCACACTCACTCACTTGCATGTACGCTCACAGACACGCTCACGTAAACCTTCACTGACGAATACACTCACTCATACATTCACTCGCAAATACACTCACTCATGTACATTCACTCACTTGCATGTACACTCAAACATACACTCACCTATACACTCACTCACATGTACACTCAATCACATATAAACTCATTCACATATACATTGACTCACATGTACAAAGACATATACACTCACATGTACACTCACATGTACACTCAATCACATATACACTCACCCACATGTACACTCACTCACATGTACACTCACCCACATATACACTCACTCACATGTACACTCAGGTATCGACTCACACACTCACTCAACCAGTCACCCATTCAGCCTCTCACTCCACCACACGAACCTTTTGTTCCACTCAAACCGCCCATCTCTCGATTCCCTCCAAAACGGGAAGTTGGCTCGGCTCATCCTGTGGATCTATCGTCGAATACGCGTGAAGAAGATTCCATTGTCGGTGGTTACACGAGGTGGACGCGTCGGGGGGGGGGGTGGTTGCCTCCGAAGCTCAACACGTGGATGATGATGATGATGGTGAACAAGAAGAGATGGTCATCGATGTTTGAGACAACCACGGACGAAACGGGTTGCGCCACGGTGGCTGGGTGGGTGGTGGGTGGTGGTCGACATCGTTGGAGGGAGACTCGGCCCCAATGGGCGGATGGAGACCGCCGAGGACGTGGATGAGAGAAGTGGAGCGCGCACAATCTCAGCGCTCACCAGGTGAGGAGTGTCACGCGGCGTTCTCGCGGCCCAGAGTGGGAGTGACGATTCCGATGATGCGGCCCCATTGGCGATGGTTACGACGACATTGAGAATGACTCAATGAACGTTCGACTTCGGTTTGCTCTCGTTCCACCCCCACGTCTCGTTTGTAGCTTAGACCCTTGTCCATGAGTCCACTGCTACTGTTGCTACCCAGTTCTATTCTTGTTGCGCGTGATGGCAGTAGCAGCAGCAGTGTTGCTCCTCCTCCGTTGAAGGAGCGCAGACCACAGTGCGTTTACTCTGCGGTCAATATCTATGGGTTGCGTGGCCACAGACGTACTGCTGTGGCTTGTCTTCAATAGATCATCTCTATGCATCTCAGTCTCTGTGTATCTCTATGGTCCTCTGCGTATGTGGTCTCTATGGGTTTACTATACGGTCCATTGTTTGGGTTCGCATGAGTACAATCGCCCTGTACTGTGGCTTGTCAATACATCTCTGTGGGTCTCTCTGAGTCTAGATGAGACTTTGCATGCCTATGGGCATCTACGTATCTCCGTGTGTCTCTATGGGTTTACTATGGTATATGGTCCATAGTTTTAGTTGCATGGCCACAATCGCCCTGTACTGTGGCTTGTCAATACATCTCTGTGGGTCTAGACGAGACTTTGTATGTCTATGGGCATCTACATATCTCCGTGTGTCTCTATGGGTTTACTATAGTATATGGTCCATAGTTGGAGTTGCATGGCCACAATCGAACCACCGTGACTTGGCGTCGTTCATGTTGCATTCACGAAGCATCGGCCCTGGCCGATGGTGGTCTGATGATGCGGTTGATGGTTACACCGGTGAGCGGGTGAGTAGGCGAGTGAGAGGGCGAGTGAGTGAATTGGTGAGTGGGTTGATGGTTGAATGCTAAAGTCAAGGAGGGCGTGCGATGCATAGGAGGTGTTTGTTGGGTGGGGGTGGGGTGTTTTGAAGCCCCTTCGCGCGGTCGCACCATCTGTTAGGAGGTTCGTTTATCGACACCTCAAGCACAACCAAATAGCGCCACCTCGACGTAGCGGACGTCACTCACTTGAACCCAGCCTAGTCACCAAATGTGGAACTTTGCGCTAACGTTGACCCAACTTTGAGCCAACGTTCGCACGTTTACCGGGGTGTTGTGTCATTAGCGCCAAGGCTTAATATCGCGTGGGACATTCGATAGCTCCCCCACCCCAGCCCCTGGACCCCCGGCGCTGTGATGGTGCCCTTAACAACAACGACTTTTCATTTAAAGCTTTCGTGACTGCAGGGATTCATATTCTTGGTTCTTTCGGTAAAGTCACGTAGAAGGGAAACAATAAAATAATAAAAATATAAAACAATAAAATTCTCATTCGTGAACACAAAGCAGACCTAAACACGGTAGGACCAACACCTCGACCGTGGCAGATCACTGTTATAATTCAGTAGGCTCATATGAAATTAACTTTTCCAAGACAGAGGTTCTTTGCAAGCCATCTGGCTACCATGAGAGATTCGTTCATGAGGCTATCCACATATACAAACACAGACAATTTCAACCGAGAAGATGGATTATGGCTTAGTAATCATTGGAAGAATTTGATAAACCATATCGGGTCTTAATTGATTGTTCACGCTTACGGTGGCTTTCAGACCGCATCCATTATTTTCGTCTCCCCCCTCCTCTTTTCCGAACATAGATGGACTCGTCCATCTGAATAAACTGTCAAATCGCTCTCCGTGGTGCTAACGTTAAAAAAACACCACTTTTTTAAAAAAATTCTTGCTGTGGTTTTCACACCTGATGATGAGTGCTTGTGTTGCAGTCGAAACGTCGTGATAATTTTATTGTTTTATATTTTATTATTTTATTGTTTCCCTTCTACGTGACTTTACCGAAAGAACCAAGAATAACAACAACGACGTTTAAGACGCAAGTCAAAGGCGTGGACATATTTTCCGGAGATGAGCCCCGGACAGCTCCGGCTATAAATTAAGCCCCCCCCACCACCATCCTTTCTCATTTACATAATAGTAATATTTTTTATTTTGCGATAGTCGATAATCGATTCCTACACGCGATTTGTTGAGCCGTGTGACTGAGAGAGGGGGTAGCTTACGTAACACCACCCGCCTTGAGATCACAAACATTGGCGACCCATTTAATATTCACTGGACACAATATAGAACGTGTGTATCATCTTAATTATTAATGTAAGACCCTGTTTAAAAAAAAAAAAATGACATTTCTCGAGATGTTTATGGACCCGTCTGGGACTCACACCTCCGTCCTATTATTTATCATTCATGTTTATATGATCCCAACTCGGGGGTTAATTTATTATCTTGGGGTCCCCACACTGCCCCGGACCCCCACCACCATAGCGAGCATTTTCCGGAGCTCAGACCGGGACAGCTCCAACTTTAAATTCAGCCTCATCCCAACTCGTAACTCGTTGTAACAGGAATCGAAAGCAATAGATTCTCACACGCGAATCCAATTCGACTTTACTCTGGAATCGATTCGTCGACACCTGCCTGTTAACCGATATACAGTGAAAAACATTGTCAGTGAACTTTGGACGGACTGATTATTATATTTACACGTACTTACCTAGTTAAGCCTCACTGAGTCTCAAGACCCCTTTTCCAAACAATTTGAACCTTGTTTTCTTTTACTACTGAGCTATATAACTCTCTTTCAGAAGCGACCAGGCCATATAACTCAACAAAGTGGCTTATCATCACGTGGAAATTTAGAGCAGCCAAAGACTCTCAAAGCATGTTTCTAAATGTCGAGGGAAAAATCGAAGCGCCCGGAGAAAAATCCGCACGACCACGGGGTGAGAGACACGCAAACTCCAAATATACAGGCGTCAGGGTCAGGATCAAACCCACGACCTCCTGTATACCATGCGAAGTAGTTAACATCTCGCCACCCAATGGTCCTGCCAATTTTTTCGCAGGAGGGAGCGATGTTGTTGCTGTTGTGGGGTTTTGCTTTTAATTTCTCCAATTAAAAGTCATTTTGTGGCCGAATTTTGACCATGACGGCCTCGCACAATGGACTAACCACTCGGAATCTATAAGTGCTCACTGTGAAGCAGATAGCCCCGTCGTTTTTTTTAGTGCAGTATTAAACAGGGCGGCCGCTGCCCTTCGAACTGCTAACTTCTGTGCAACGAGCGGGCGAACGCCCAGACAGGCACGTCACACGCAAAATAACCGCGCACGCATTCACCATGTTAACACCTTTATTTAAAAAATATATATACAATGTAGAAAGAATGTACAACGGATTTTGATCATGTACACCATAATTCCCCACGGTCTGATTATTTGTCTTCAGAAAAAAAAATTTCATTTACAATTTACATCCCGTGCTGTCAATCCACTGCTGGATGAAGGCTTTCCTCTTCACCCCAAAAACCGCCGTGTGTCGATCACGGGAGGGCTGTTTGACCATACTTCACCACGCTGGTCAGTGGAGGTATTTTAGTGGAGTGGGTAGGTGGGTATATGGCAGTCCAGGATGTCGAACTCGGGCCGCCAAGGATTCATAGTGGAGTGCGCTAACCACTGCGCCAGCTCTCCCCACGACTCAGCGATTCCTTTTCGTGTTGGCTTGTTTTCAACAAGACGTTAATCACCGTGCGGTTAAACCACCGTGTGTAAATATGATCATCCATGACCGTTTATTGCATTCGCATTCCGGCGACCAAAATAATCCGCGAGGCTCAACCGGGACACGTGGCGATGCAGCTGGCAGCCCCCTCCCCTTCCTCCCTCCTTCACGCCCACTTTTATATAGCCACGCCCACTCAACCACTAGCCCATCCCATACAGCGAGTTTCCTCTCGCTCTCTATAATCCTGCTTCATGGCAAATCCTTTGCGTGTGATGAGAACAAGGGCCTTGGCCAAATCGTTCTGTTTTTGTTTGGTTGTGCGCCTCTCTCAGCCGTCACCGAATCATTATCTTGAATGCAACATCTTACCTCGTAGTCGGGAAAGGTTTATGATGACACCTCGGATATTTTAAACAACACAGAGCGAAGTATTTATTCCTTTATCACACGAATAAATACCGGAGCTCACCTTTATAATCTCTTCATTGGCAACTCTCGTTTTACGGTGTTAATTCAATCATGGCCTGGTAGTAGAGGAGGTTCGCAGAGTCAGAGCACCGAATTCCACTTCTCTTTGCATTTACCCCGCCCCATAATGCTCCATGACACTTTGCAACTTTTTTTTTACAATACGGCATTACTCTTTGCATTGAAAATGGACCCATGGTTATTGTGGAGTGCTTTTTTTCAAATAATATCTGGCAGCCAAGCGGCATTTTGCCGAACAAGGCCCAACCCCGGCCCACAGTTTTGCTCGCTTTAAACCGATGCCGCTGGGCCCGTTGGATTAAAACATATACTGTGCATATATATCTGGCATCCCATAAATCACGTGACTTGTGCGTGGACACGCCCACTCGGAGTCCCTCCCCTCTCCCTGCCCCCTGTGAAAACAGACGCCGCTCCTGCGCGCAGCTCACTTCTGATCCGCTCCTTCCTTCTCTCTTCTCCCTCTCTACCCTCTCATCATCATCATCACCACCACCGTCTCATCCCCGACATCTTGGCCCGGTTATTTCCTTCTTCCCTTTGTGCCCCTTCCTGAGCAGAGTGCCTTTGTTCCGCTTCCTCTTTGCCTCTCTGGAATGCTATTCCCGAGTATCACTGTGCACTTAGTAACTAGACATGAGTGGCCCTTTGCTGAATGAAGACCTCCCTACGTTGCGTAGCTCATGGGGATTGTTTGACTATACTTCACCACTCTGGTCAGTGCAGATTGGGGAAGGTGGATGTAAACGGAGGCCCATGATCGATTCCGGATATCAGAGCCCTGCTGCTTCTTTACGTCAATGATGTTGACCGCGGCTGGGAATCGAACTCAGGTTCACTGAGTTCGTAGCGCAGTGCGCCAACCGCTCTGCCACCGCTCCAACACCTGACATACTACTTTTAAATCAGCTAGATTGAAAATTAATTTATTTAGAACTGCTTTTTGTGTTTAGTTTGCTGTCCTCCCACACACCTCCGATTAGCACGGTTGGCTATGTACGGTGCGAAAGAAGTTCAAGATACATAAGTATACATTGTCCTGTAAAAATAAATACAAAACTTCGTGGAAATTAAGAGTATTTAAATGTTTGGAGAAACGGGACAGGTCTATCACCTGGTTAATATATGTGACACGGCCCAACGGCAGTGCGTCCACCGCTTGTTGCAGAGATTCACGGTTGGACTCCAGTAGTCAGCCCTGGTTAACGCTGCGGGTGTATTAGCCTTGAAAAAAAACACCATACACCGTTATCTGCTTCACTCACAGCGGATATTAAAGATCGCGTGGCATCATTGGAGTTTGCTAACGTGTGACGGCGCCGCCATAGTCCAATTTTTTGCCAAATGAATTATTTTTTATTCTATTGCGGAAAGTCCACAGTAGCCCCCCCCCTCCCCCATCCAAGCTGGGAGACGAATGCCCACCTTCAGGCTCCAGTGCCAAGGCACCCCGTGCCATGCAGGAAAACTGCCGCTGGGGGTGCCCATTTGATCGTGTCGAGGGATGAGATGTGGATGCTAAAGATGCTTCCAGTTTGCTGAGATGTGCAAGCGAGCGCAGATAATGTAAAAAAAAACTAAATTCACGACCATCGGTACTAAACCATAATAACCTCCTCCTCTTCGTCGGTAGTAACGAGGTTGTGCGATGTTGCAAACTTGACGTGGTTTTGACGACATATCTCGTCATCGATTCATGGGGTCGTCGTCAATTCTCCAGGCCCACGCGTCGCGCGATACGCTGAACGGCGGGCGTGAGGCTCGACTCTTTCCTCGAGCGCCCAGTGGGTTCACGTCACCCCTGCACAGCCACTAGAGGCCGCTACCACTCGCCACAGTGTTACGATGATGACAATAATCGATTACTGAATACAATCGCGAGCTAGAGTCGTCACGAACCGTGGAATACGATGGATTTCAGAGCGGCGAGAGAGACACGGAGAGAAGAGCAGGTTTGCCACGTGTCCCTGGTTTTTACAGAATTGCTCTGTTATTTCGATGAGAGAGGTGTTGCTGCTGCGACTATCCTGGGAAATCATTAAGAAGTCTTCCCTCGGGCGGTGCATTAAAAGTCAATCATGATGACTGTACAGTGCACTTGCACATAGTCCTCTGTGTAGTTCCGTCCTGAGGTACTGAGCCATGAACTCATTTTTTTGGAACTGCTTTTGGTGTTCAGTTTGTTGTCCTTCCCACGCACCTCCGATTATCACGGTTGGCTACACATACGGCGCGAAAGAAGTTCAACATATATACATGGGTATATCCATTTCGCCTCGCCACATTTTTTTTTGCCGAGCCGACTTCAAACAGAGGTGGGCCTTAATCGGTCCCCCGTTTCAGGCCGAGTAGACCTCAGCGTGTCCCGCACACACACCGAGGGGATCACTTCAGCCCGAAGGCAAAGCCGGCAGACATCTCGCCGCCCTCAGGGGGTGCTGTTCGTCGCTGGCCGCTCGGCGTTTTGAGGCTCAGCAACCGTCATTTTAAAAACAACGACAAAAAACATCGTCGTCTGTGGCTGCTCATTTCAGGCTGAGCCATCACGAGGGGGGTGCTCCATGTTTCAGTTTGAGCCCACCTAGTGGAGGCCTTCTCCGGTTCCACATTCCAGACTAAGTTGACAGATAACTCCTCCCTTGAGTGTTCATTTTATGGCCGAGTCGGCCTAGGAGAGGCATTCATTCGGCGGTCAATTCAATCGGTTGACCTCGCAGAAGTCTTTATTGGTCCCTCATTTCTGTCCGAGGCGACCTAGACGTGTTCCTTCGTTGAATTTGAGTCCGGATCGACGTCGAAGCTGCTCCATGTGGCTCGCGAGTCGACCCTGCGGTGCAAGCTATCCATTTTTGGCTGAGTCGACCTAGGGGAGGTCTTTTGCAGTCACTCAATTCCAGTCTGAGTCGTACGAGGCGTAACTCCCACTTCAGTCTGAGTCGACCTGGGAGCTGCAAAAGCTCACGTACATGCTCAAGCAGCTGCGAATGGCCTTGATGAAATCTTTACGTTTCAGTATCGTCTGAATCTGCGCCTGTTTCACACAAACACACGCACAACAAAAAAAAACAAAGATTCCCCGTATAGCCTTCAACATACTGCAGGGGCAAGTGCAGTTGGCGAGCACCTATGAAGGCCGGCACGGCACGCGACGGGGGCGGGTGGCCAGCGCCACGCCCGACCGCCTTTGTCTCCCCAGTGGCGATGTTGACAAACCGCACCAGGTACGCGCGCACACAGTACCAGTTACAGTACACGCTTAGACGGCAGGTGGCGACATTGGACCGCGAGTCAAATACGGTATTGCTGCGGGCCGTGCTTTGTGGCGTCCTTTCGACCTCAAAGTGCACCTAGCCTGGCACAAGTGGCGTGGTGACGTCAGCGGCACTTTATGGCGAATGGACGGCTGTCGTTGCCGGTGTGCCGTAGGTGATGGAGCAGTTGTAGAGAGAGTGGAGAGATTTCCATACCTGGGCAGTGTGCTTATTGCTCGGCAGTGTGCTTATGACCAGCTCTGGTTTGACAGCAGAGGTCTCACACCTGGCGGCATTATCTTTTCATCGTCTGCGCAACGCTGTGAGGAAGCTACCTGGCCTGTCGCTCCATACGAAGCTTTGGATATTCACGGCCAGTCATGCCCTCCCTTCTCAATGCGTGCGGAACGTGGACCCCTCTAATGGAACATCTGCGCCGGTTAAAAACGTTCAGGCTGGCCTACCCACGATCCATCCTGGGTTTAACCAGGCAGGATTGTGTCAGGAGCTCACAAATCCTTGAAAGATCTGGACACATTCCCATCAGTGAACTACTTTGTTTAATCAAACCTATGTATTTATTAACATTATTTATATGTAAAAAAATAGGCTTGAGTACCAAACGGGTGCAAGGCTGCAATAAAGGTTCAGAACCACTGGTGTAGAGAGGTTCGTGCAAGTATATAATTTTCGGTTGAATCGACCTAGCAGAGGCCCGGAACCGGTTCAGATAGTGGCCATTGATGTTAGCTGAGAGCGGGTCGTTGGGTTCGTAGTGCAGGGTGCCAACCACTGCACTACCTACAGCCCTGCAAGAGGCTCTCGGGAAATCTTCCCCTTTGTATCTGTACTCTCCTGGTCAGGGTCAACATCAGTGACGAATATTTTAACTGGCTCTGGGTCTCCCCTTGGTCGACTCAGCCGTTAAATAAGGTCCCTCGCGGCGTGTAAACCATCGGCACTGAGGATACCAAGGGCTTGGTGCTCCGCCAGCCACCCTCCCCGTGTGCCGTGCCGGGCTCCGTTAAGCGCCGTGTGTGTGTGTGTGTGCTGCGGGGTGTCTCACCCTAACTGGGGCTGGGCATTCCCCCAGTATGTCGGCCCTCAGCCTGGTAAATATTTGCGGGGGAGTCCAGCCGCCCTTCCCCGCCAAGCTCTCGATGGTGCACAGCAGCCCGCCCAGAGCCTGCAGATAGTTAGCCTGCATCACCAACAGCAGCAGATGCATCATCATCATCATCAATAAGCAGCATCATCAGCAGATCCATCAGCATCATCAGCATCATCATCATCATCATGTGCGGGAGTGTTAGGGAGAGTTCGGGAGTGTGTGGGAGTGTGAGGAGAGTGTAAGGAAAAGTGAGAGAGTGTGAGAGAGTGTGAGGGAGTGTGAGGGAGTGTGTGGGAGTGTGAGAGAGAGGAGAGTGTGAGGGAGAGTGAGAGAGTGTGAGAGAGTGTGAGGGAGTGTGAGGGAGTGTGTGGGAGTGTGAGTGCTGGAGTGTGAGGGAGAGTGAGGGAGTGTGAGTGGGAGTGCTGGTGTGTTAGAGAGTGTGAGGGAGTGTGAGAGAGTGTGAGGAAGTGTGTGGGAGTGTGTGGGAGTGTGAGTGGGAGTGCTGGAGTGTGAGGGAGAGTGAGAGAGTGGGAGTGCTGGTGTGTGAGAGAGTGTGTGGGAGTGTGTGGGAGTGTGAGAGAGTGTGAGGGAGAGTGCTGGAATGTGTGGGAGTGTGAGAGAGTGTGAGAGAGTGTGAGGGAGTGTGAGAGAGTGTGAGAGAGTGTGAGCGGGAGTGCTGGAGTGTGAGGGAGAGTGAGAGAGTGTGAGCGGGAGTACTGGAGTGTGTGGGAGTGTGTGAGAGAGTGTGAGGGAGTGTGAGTGGGAGTACTGGAGTGAGTGGGAGTGTGAGAGAGTGTGAGAGAGTGTGAGGGAGTGTGAGTGGGAGTGCTGGAGTGTGTGGGAGTGTGAGAGAGTGTGAGGGAGAGTGAGAGAGAGTGTGAGGGAAAGAGTGAGAGTGGGAGTGCTGGAGTGTTTCGGAGTGCTGGAGTGTGTGGGAGTGTGAGGGAGAGAGTGTGAGTAGGAGTGCTGGAGTGTGTGGGAGTGAGAGAGAGTGTGTGGGAGTGTGTGGGAGTGAGAGAGTGTGAGTGGGAGTGCTGGAGTGTGTGGGAGTGTGAGAGAGTGTGAGGGAGAGTGAGAGAGAGAGAGTGTGTCGGAGTGTGAGAGAGTGTGGGAGTGTGAGAGAGTGTGAGGGAGAGTGAGAGAGAGTGTGAGGGAGAGTGTGTCGGAGTGTGAGAGAGTGTGGGAGTGTGAGAGAGTGTGAGGGAGTGTGAGAGAGTGTGAGGGAGAGTGAGAGAGTGAGAGTGTGTCAGAGTGTGAGAGAGTGTGGGAGTGTGAGAGAGTGTGAGGGAGTGTGAGAGAGAGTGTGAGGGAGAGTGAGAGAGTGAGAGTGGGAGTGCTGGAGTGTGTGGGAGTGTGAGGGATAGTGCTGGAGTGTGTGGGAGTGTGAGGGAGAGAGTGTGAGTGGGAGTGCTGGAGTGTGTGGGAGTGAGAGAGTGTGAGGGAGAGTGCTGGAGTGTGTGGGAGTGTGAGGGAGAGAGTGTGAGTGCTGGAGTGTGTGGGAGTGCTGGAGTCTGTGGGAGTGTGAGGGAGACAGTGTGAGTGGGAGTGCTGGAGTGTGTGGGAGTGAGAGAGTGTGAGGGAGAGTGAGAGAGAGTGTGAGGGAGAGTGAGAGAGTGAGAGTGGGAGTACTGGAATGTGTGGGAGTGCTGGAGTGTGTGGGAGTGTGAGGGAGACTGAGGGATAGTGCTGGAGTGTGTGGGAGTGAGAGAGTATGAGGGAGAGTGAGAGAGTGTGAGAGAGTGTGGGAGTGTGAGAGAGTGTGAGGGAGAGTGTTGGATTGTGTGGGAGTGAGAGAGAGTGCTGGAGTGTGAGGGAGAGTGAGGGGGAGTGCTGGAGTGTGTGGGAGTGTGAGGGAGAGAGTGTGAGTGGGAGTGCTGGAGTGTGTGGGAGTGAGAGAGAGTGTGTGGGAGTGTGTGGGAGTGTGAGAGAGTGTGAGAGGAGAGTGCTGGAGGCGGGATCTCACCTGGTTTTCCTCGATACAAGTCTTCCGGTAGGCCTCATTGATTAAGACTTTGGTTGGCAGCGTCATCGACTGGACACACACAAAGACAAAGATCACCCGTATAGCCTTAACAGACTGTTAGGGCAAGTTCCTGTAGCCCCTATGAAGGCCAGCACAGCACCCGAGGGGGTGGGTGGCCAACACCATGCCTGGCCATCTTTGTCTCCCCAATACTCATGTTTACACACCACACCAGGCAATACAATTTGAGGCTGAGTTGACCTAGGGGAAGGCCTAGGACCAGTTCAATGAATCGTCACTGGTGTTGGTCGCGAGCGGGAATCGAACTCGGGTCGCCAGGTTGGTAGCGCAGTGCGCTAACTGCTGTGCCACCACTCCCGACCACACGAACTCACGCGGCAGGGAGAGGGGGTGGGGTGACAACAGATCTGATGATTGTAGTGATGATTGTGATGATAGTGATGATGGTTACAATGATGATGATAGGCGGTAGACTTTCTGGCACACTCTGCGATGGTGAGATTGTTTTTGTTGCCTGGCAGTCAATCCGATACTTTACTTCTGAGAGACAGGATTCACCCTAATTAAGTACAAACACAATGTTTGACATAATTGAGTGATTTATGTTGTTGTGCAGTTATCGGTGATCGGTCTGAGACCATCGTCAACTTGAATACCCGGGTTTGAATCGCAACTCAATCTGTGTGAGACTATGATGAGTCTCCGTGCAGGTCCATGGGTCTCTATGTGACTTCAAGGGTATCTCTATGTCAGGGGTGGGGAACCTTTTTTCTGCCAAGGGCCATTTGGATATTTATAACATCATTCGCGGGCCATACAAAACTTATCAACCTAAAAATTTGCCCGTTATATTTGGTCAAACAATTTAATTAACTCACCCCTAATGCGATGGCTGGAACTGCTTCTATTTGGCGAGGCGTGTGATGATGTTAGCTGGTATTGATGATGTTAGCTGGTATTGATGATGTTAGCTGGTATTGATGATGTTAGCTGGTATTGATGATGTTAGCTGGTATTGATGTTAGCTGGTATTGATGATGTTAGCTGGTATTGATGATGTTAGCTGGTATTGATGATGTTAGCTGGTATTGATGATGTTAGCTGGTATTGATGTTAGCTGGTATTGATGATGTTAGCTGGTATTGATGATGTTAGCTGGTATTGATGATGTTAGCTGGTATTGATGATGTTAGTTGGTATTGATGATGTTAGCTGGTATTGATGATGTTAGCTGGTATTGATGATGTTAGCTGGTATTGATGATGTTAGCTGGTATTGATGATGTTAGCTGGTATTGATGATGTTAGCTGGTATTGATGATGTTAGCTGGTATTGATGATGTTAGCTGGTATTGATGTTAGCTGGTATTGATGATGTTAGCTGGTATTGATGATGTTAGCTGGTATTGATGATGTTAGCTGGTATTGATGATGTTAGCTGGTATTGATGATGTTAGCTGGTATTGATGATGTTAGCTGGTATTGATGATGTTAGCTGGTATTGATGATGTTAGCTGGTATTGATGTTAGCTGGTATTGATGATGTTAGCTGGTATTGATGATGTTAGCTGGTATTGATGATGTTAGCTGGTATTGATTATGTTAGCTGGTATTGATGATGTTAGCTGGTATTGATGATGTTAGCTGGTATTGATGTTAGCTGGTATTGATGTTAGCTGGTATTGATGATGTTAGCTGGTATTGATGATGTTAGTTGGTATTGATGATGTTAGCTGGTATTGATGATGTTAGCTGGTATTGATGATGTTAGCTGGTATTGATGATGATGTTAGCTGGTATTGATGATGTTAGCTGGTATTGATGATGTTAGCTGGTATTGATGATGTTAGCTGGTATTGATGATGTTAGTTGGTATTGATGATGTTAGCTGGTATTGATGATGTTAGCTGGTATTGATGATGTTAGCTGGTATTGACGATGTTAGCTGGTATTGATGATGTTGCTACTCGCAACTGCTTTTCCAGGTTTGCTCTCCTAGATTTATTGAATTTCGAGTCCCCCCTTCGGCTGCCTTGCCAGGGCCAGAGACCCAAATGATTTTGCGGGCCTCATACGGCCCGCGGGACCGGACCTTCCCCACCCCTGGTCTATGTCGATCGTCGCCCCATACGTGAGTCGAGCAGTGAGCCCACTGACCCCTTCCCGGTCCCTACCCACGAGGGCACCTGGGTCCCCAGGGATTTGTCGCATCGCGAGGTTGCCTGCACCCTTCCTCCCCGTCGTTCGCTTTCTGCATCGGGCTCTTGTCGAACAACAACAAAAAAAACAATTTGTAAAATAACGAAAGCAAAATTACTTTTCGAGTGGACGAGGAGTGTCACCCAGCGAACTTCCGAGAGACGCTTCTTGCTCTTTGTTAAACCACGCTCGGGGCAGATGGGAGGGCAAGGAGAAAGATGAGTTTCGCAAGCAGAGAGTTGACCTTCAACTGTCCGCTTGCGAAGAATTGAAGGTCAATGTCCCCACCACCACCCCCTCCCCCACCCCCCCCGGCTCTATAAAAGAATAAACAAAAGCAAATGAGCAGTCCTGCGCCTGCTGCTCGCTCGTAGCACAGCTGGCGGAAGGAGTCTCCCACGAGCGAGGGAAAGAGAGCGAACGACGTTGAGCAGAGGTGCCGCTGGAAGGGATTGGGACGCTGAGTAACCCACACTTTACCCCACCGCGCGCGACTTGCCCACTGATTTATTAAACTGCGGTGGAATTCATCTGTTCAAGCTATACGGGGAATGTTCGTCTTTTGCGTGTGTGCGGGGGGGGGGGCATTGGCGCAGTGGTTAGCGCACTACGCTCACGCACCTACCCGGCAACCCAAGTTCGACTGCGGGCCACGGCTAACATCAGCGGAAAGTTGTTATCAAAACAAGTCCCCAAATCTGTCTTGTGTGAACTCGGCTTTCGACGAGTACTTGTGCATGTGAGCATCACCGCCAGTTGGAGACAAAGGCGGCCAGGCACGCTCCTGGCCACACTACCCACGTCACGCACTGTGTCGGCCCTAATGGGATCTTGCTAACAGCACTCGCCCCAACAGTCTACCAGGCTACATGGGGGACCTTTGCCTACATGTTTTTGATGTGGCCTTATTGCGTGTAGGAATGCTGCTAGAACAGCTGTGGTGTAACGCTTTAGTAGCAGCAGCAGCAGGACACGACAGTGACCTGCAATCTAGAGTGCACCGGTTCGATTCCATCTCATGGCACGGAAGCTGAAACAATGGGTGGCAAGTTTATTGAAATTTACCCCTCCCCCCAGACCCCCCCCCCTCCCCTGCTACTTCAGACCTCCCACCCCTACCTCTTTACACTCAGCCTGTTAAAGTCGGTTCATCGCATCCAAAAACTATCGGAAGGTCAGGCAAGTGTGGCAGTGGGGGTAATGATTACCTATAACCTGGCACGGGGGGAGAGGGGGAAATTGAGATAGGAGAGGGAGTGATGCAACCCGCACACGAGCGTGATGGCAGCCAGAGCCACTGTCGAGAGTTTTGCCGAAGCTCTGCAATCCGTGTTGGGATGTTCGTCCGATTCCAGTGATGACTCAACCCATCATCCCTTCATCCGGGGTCGATAAAATAGGTACCACCATGTGGAGCTGTCTAACAGTGGTTCTCCTAAGGAGAGGCTCGACCCGCCACTACTGGCTCTACAGGGCTGAAAATATCAAATCAGCACCACCTCAGTGGCAATGTGAGCTGAAATTCACTTTACCTTTTGACTTTGGCCTTCATAGACACAGGAGCTACACAACGCCTGGCACCCCGAGTAATTCCTAGAAGTCGTCTAGAGTCAGGAGGCTGAGGACCTTGAATTGTTCTGTTCCCTGCCTCTAGGACTCTACTCCAAGGAATTATGCTTGCACAGACAGAGATGGAGTGGGTGGGTGGGTGAGTGGGTCGCTTACACTCTTACCAGGAATGATGCTGGCACAATCGATGAGTGGATGGGTGAGTAGGTCAGTTATCGTCTCATCAGCAATTCTGCTGGTATTGTCAGTGGGTGGGTGAGTGAGTAGGTTATAGTCTACCAGGAATCATGCTGGCACAATCGGTGAGTGGGTGGGTGAGTGGGTGGGTGAGTAGGTTATAGTCTTACCAGGAATCATGCTGGCACAATCGGTGAGTGGGTGGGTGAGTGGGTGGGTGAGTAGGTTATAGTCTTACCAGGAATCATGCCGCCAAGGTCAGTGAGCGGGTGGGTGGGTGGGCGAGTGAGTGGGTTATAGTCTTATCACGGATTGTGCTGGCACAATCAGTGAGTGTGTGGGTTGGTTACCAGGTTTTTGGGGATCATGTGGCTCTGGCTGGTGAAGTATCTCACGAGGGAGTGATTGCAGTGGCCAGCACCGTGCACCCAGACACAGCAGAACGACACTAGCAGTAGCCGCACTCCTACAAACACACACAAAGGCAAAGATCCCCCATACGGTCACACCAGCTTTCGGGGGCAAGTGCTGTTCGCGAGCAACTTACGTATGGCACGTGATGTGGGTGGTGCGGATAGCACCACGCTCGGCCGCCTTTGTCTCTCCCAGTGCCGATTTTTTTTTTACACACAGCACCAGCTATACACTGATCCTACACAAAAAGACAATATATATGCACGCATACAGTATACACGTACATGTACACAGAGACAATGGCACACACAGTATATACATGGACAATTATAACGATTCCCCCATGTAACTTTTAACATGTCATGTAAATGTACATACATTTACACACACACAGACGTAACCCTTACATGTACACGCAGACATATATATGCATGGTCAAATACAAATAGAAGCATCCCCTGTGTAGCCACCAGACTGTTGGAGCAAGTGCCGTTAGCGAGTAACCCACGAAGGCCGGCACTGCACATGAGCGGGTCGTGTGACCAGCACCAGGCCCGGCCGCCTTTGTCTCTCTCAGTGCTGATGTTCACACACCGCACCAGGTACTCATATTAGCCTGGGGCGACTGTGAGCGGGGTGAGGAGGGTCAGGAGTGAGACCAAGCGGCGGTTCGGATCGATCACTCGTCACTGACGCTAGAGCCGTGGACAGGACTCGAACTCAGGTCGCCAGGTTCGCAGCCACTGTGGGGTTCATTCATTCCGATTCGTTTCGCCTTTCCCTTCCACCTTTCAACCTCGATGCAAATGTATAATAAGAATGACTCATTTAACCCAGGGAAGCCACACCGATTCCTCGAACTCATTATTTACACGCTTTTTGTTCAACTAGCGCTGTGAGAATTTTATTGTTTTATTTTATTATTTTATTCTCATTCTACGTGACTTTACCGAAAAGAACCAAAGAAGATCACGCTGTCTGTTGTCGTCGTCGAATCCTCAAATCGTGTAACTCAATTGGAACCCACTTCCCAATGTGGTATCGACTGCAAACTTGGTATACTTATGCCATACTAATGATAATACTAAATTCTATCATTACAAAAATAAATATTTTTAAACAACATTTTTCTATGTTATGTTTCGGCTTGGGTCTAATTGTCCACAACTGACGTTGGCTGTAAATCACCACGGGTCCCCTTACGTTGTGGAAAGCTTCGGGGCCACTTCCTGGAGTCGTGGAGTTTTGCCATTACGAGTAGGGTACATTTCATTAAAGCGTGTTTTTTTTTTTAAAGTGTTTTTAAATATTGCGAGTGTGGAGTGGGGTTTGAAGAGGGGTCAACGCTCTGTGCACAGTTACGGACAGGTCAGACGATACAGGCGACGACCTTTCAAGCAAATAGCCCCTTTCTTCACGGCACACGCAGAGATCAGAGAGGCGGAGTGGCCTCCTCCCCATGCGTGTATGCATGTTGAACTTTTGTCGCGCCGTACGCAGCCAACCGCGCTCATCGGCGGTGTGTGTGTGTATATGTGTATTGATTATCCACAAATCCTCGTTGCCTCATCCACCAACCAACCCAGTGGCACGTGCGTGCGAGGCGAACATCGCCCCCCCCCACCCCCCCGCGTCTCTCGCCCGAGTCCATCCCCTGCCCACCCTTGTGCCCTCAGATGTACTTCACGCCCGCCTCGATTTGTGCGTGGCAGGAGGTCCTCTGGGGACACCCTGGGGGTTGGGGTGGGCAGGAGGTGGGCGGTCTTGTATAGGTTGGGGGGGGGGAGGATGTGGGGGCTGACAGTTACGGGTGACATAACACGCGTAGATGCTAAACGAAGGCAATGATTTCCCCATGTAGCCTTCAATAGACTGTTTGGGCAATTGTTGTTACCTAGCACATATGAAGGCCGGTGCGACATACAACATGGGGGAGGGAGGGGGGGTGATCACTATGGCCGGCCGCCTTTGTCTCCCCAATGCTGATGTTTTGAACACCGCACCAGGTAATGTTTTCAGGCTGAGTCGACCTATGTTGATCGTGAGAGGGAATCGAACTCGGGCCGCCGGGTTCGTAGTGCAGGGCGCCAACCAATGCGCCACCGCTCCCAACTAAATGCGCGCACACACACACACACGCTCGCTAACCTGTTAACACTTACAAAGATTAAGATCACCTACATTCTGTTGTTGGGGCAAGTGCATTTGTTCGAACACTTGTGAAGAAGGCGCACAAGGCGGGGTGATAAATGGCAGAGCCACGCCCGGCCGCCTTTGTCTCCCCAGTGTCGATATTCGCTTCCTTCCGGTATTAGAACGCCAATGGAGCTACGCACTTTTAAGTCTACAGATAAAAACTAATTTATTGAGAACTGCTTTTTGTTGCGTGTGTTAAGTTGGTTGTCCTTCATCCGGAACCTCCGGTTAGCACGGTTGGCTACGTACGGTGCAAAAGAAGTTAAACAGAAACCAGAATGTTTATTTATACTGGAGGAATCCGATAAGTTGTGAAGCTCTCTTTTTCACAGACGTCCAGTACGGGCAGGTCAGAACGCTACAACAACAACAACATATACATACACTCAGTGAGTGGCGCTCGTTTAAGGCTGAGTCGACCTAGGGGAGGCGCAGGATTTGTTTTTGTTGTCAGATATTTAGTTGTGCGCGCGCGCGCCGCTCACGTGAATCCGGGTCACTGAATTCGCAGCGCGATCCGCTAACCACTGCGCCACCGCTCCTCGCGGAAGGAGACTTCGTAGTCGACGGGGTGGGGAGGGGATGATGCATGTAGGAGCGGTAGCTATGGTTGACGTAGCAAGCGTAAACACGCGTAGACGCGTTCGCACACACACTCACGCACAAGTGTAAACACAGCACCCACCCGTAACGACTCATGTTTACCACACACACACACTCACCACACACACACACACTCACCAAACCAGCACTTCCATCTCCCCGCCCCAACCTCAAATGTCCTCTTCTGACATTTTCACCCGATTGCGAATAGTTCTTTTGTTCACAATTTGTTTTTGTATTTTTTTTGTATTTTGGTAACTTTTTTTTTTGTTCCAGAGCGTTGGTATTCTGACTCACTGCGATGGTGGCCCGAATGAAGGAGGACGGGGTGAGCGAGGGCGGAGGAGTGTGTGGGGGGGGGTGTTGATGACGGTGCCGTAGCATCTAACGATTCGTAAACCCGCAGTATTAACTGGAGCGGGCCAATGGGGGTGGCCGAACCGAACCGCAGGACCCCCCTCTGGAAATACCGCTCGGGCGCGTCAACGAGTGGCGATGCGATTTTGAGCGGGGTGAGAGAAAATCGTGGCGAGGCCGGAGACACGGGACCCGGGGATCATTGACCCAGGTGGGATCCGCGAGGCCAGCAACCAAAGATCAATTCCCGGCAACGACAAACACTGGTGGCTGCACAGAACAAACGAGATAGCGATGCAGACGAGACAGAACAAATAAACACACGGGGTATTAGGTGTATACTGAACAAGCAGACGGGGACAGTTAGCAGTGGTGACCCTCGACTGCACATCTCCCCGTGCGTGTTCTTGTCGTGGGATGATTGGGGGACGCACTTGTGGCGCAGTGGTTGGCGTACCGCGCGATGACACCGGAGGCCTGATGTTTGATTCCCGGCCACGGTTAACACATTAGTGGCGAGTGATACCCGTATACCCTCAACTAACCCTAACTCCCGTTCATCAATCGGCGTTTTCCAGCGTGGTGAAGTATGGTTAAACAACCCCCATGACTGAAACGGCGTGGGGAGGCCCTCATACAGCAGTGGATTGACAAAATTGTGAAAAAGCGTGGCCTCGATGTGCACCTAGCCTGGCACAAAGCGTAGCCAATAGACATGAGGAAGAACAAACGAGCCAGACAATAGAAACGAGACAGAACAAACGAGCCAGACAATAGAAACCAAACAGAACAAACGAGCCAGACAATAGAAACGAGACAGAACAAACGAGCCAGACAATAGAAACGAGCCAGACAATAGAAACGAGACAGAACAAACGAGTCAGACAATAGAAACGAGCCAGACAATAGAAACGAGACAGAACAAACGAGCCAGACAATAGAAACGCGACAGAACAAACGAGCCAGACAATAGAAACGAGACAGAACAAACGAGCCAGACAATAGAAACGAGACAGAACAAACGAGCCAGACAATAGAAACGAGACAGAACAAACGAGCCAGACAATAGAAACGCGACAGAACAAACGAGCCAGACAATAGAAACGAGACAGAACAAACGAGCCAGACAATAGAAACGAGACAGAACAAACGAGCCAGACAATAGAAACGAGACAGAACAAACGAGCCAGACAATAGAAACGAGACAGAACAAACGAGCCAGACAATAGAAACGAGACAGAACAAACGAGCCAGACAATAGAAACGAGACAGAACAAACGAGCCAGACAATAGAAACGAGCCAGACAATAGAAACGAGACAGAACAAACGAGCCAGACAATAGAAACGAGACAGAACAAACGAGCCAGACAATAGAAACGAGACAGAACAAACGAGCCAGACAATAGAAACGAGACAGAACAAACGAGCCAGACAATAGAAACGAGACAGAACAAACGAGCCAGACAATAGAAACGAGACAGAACAAACGAGCCAGACAATAGAAACGAGACAGAACAAACGAGCCAGACAATAGAAACGAGACAGAACAAACGAGCCAGACAATAGAAACGAGACAGAACAAACGAGCCAGACAATAGAAACGAGACAGAACAAACGAGCCAGACAATAGAAACGAGCCAGACAATAGAAACGAGACAGAACAAACGAGCCAGACAATAGAAACGAGACAGAACAAACGAGCCAGACAATAGAAACGAGACAGAACAAACGAGCCAGACAATAGAAACGAGACAGAACAAACGAGCCAGACAATAGAAACGAGACAGAACAAACGAGTCAGACAATAGAAACGAGACAGAACAAACGAGTCAGACAATAGAAACGACACAGAACAAACGAGCCAGACAATAGAAACGAGACAGAACAAACGAGTC